AGGAAGGAAGGAAGGAAGGAAGGAAGGAAGGAAGGAAGGAAGGAAGGAAGGAAGGAAGGAAGGAAGGAAGGAGGCTTCTTGCTCCTTGTGGCCTGGGGCTGCTGGGAGCAGGGGGTGGGGCTTGTGGCATGTGCCCACCCCCTGGGCTCTTTACTGCCGGAGCTCTGGTCCTGTGCGCTCCTGCAGGAAATGACCCCTGCATATTATGATACTGCCTATGTCAACGAGACAGTGAATTAAAAATAATTATCCAAAAGCTGGATAATTACTTATAATTCCCGACTCACTGAGATATGCAGTTATCATGACAGATGGTTGCATCCTGTCTCACACAGTGGCCAATCAGTTCCTCTGGAGGGCCAACAGTACAGCGTAGAGGCCGAGGCCTTCCCCTGATGTTGCCTCCTGGCTGTATATACACCATGCTGGACTAGATGGACCACTGGTTTGGTGTAGTGGTTAAGAGCGCGGACTCTAATCTGGGAGAACCGGGTTTGATTCCCCACTCCTCCACGTGCAGCTGCTGGTGTGACCCTGGATCAGTCACAAGCTCTCTCAGAGCTGTTCTCTCAAAGGCAGTCCTCAAATGAGCTCTCTCATCCCCACCCACCTCACAGGGTGTATGTTGTGAAAAGGGGAAGGGGAAGGGATCGTAAGCCGCTCTGAGACTCCTTCAGGTAGTGAAGAATGGGGTATAAATAATCTCTTCCTCCTCTCCTTATCAGGGGAAGGGCTCAGCTTCTACACCCTTTTTGGTCATCCAGAGGAATTGATTGGCCACTGTGTGACGCAGGATGCTGGACTAGATGGACTATTGGTCTGATCCAACAGGGCTCTTCTGATGTTCTTATGAAGACCTCGGCCTCTGTACCCTGTCGTTGACCCTCCAGAGGAACTGATTGGCCCCTGTGTGAGACAGGACGCTGGATTAGATGGACCACTGGTCTGATCCAGCAGGGCTCTAGTTATGTTCTAATGAAGGCCTTGGCCTCTGTGCCCTGTTGCTAGCCCTCCAGAGGAACTGGTTGGCCACTGTGTGAGACAGGACGCTGGACTAGATGGACCACTGGTCTGATCCAGCAGGGCTCTTTTTATGCTCTTATAGATAAATTCATGGAGGAGAAGTCTATCAATGGCTACTAGCCATGGTAACTGAGGAGAACCTCCACATTCAGGGGCACTAACCCTCTGGATCCCAGAGCCAGGAGGCAACTTCAGGGAAAGGCCTCGGCCTCTATGCCCTGTTGTTGGCCCTCCAGAAGAATTGATTGGCCACTGTGTGAGACATGATGCTAGACTAGACAGGCCGTTGGTCTGATCCAGCAGAGCTCTTCTTATGTTCTTATATAAATGAAAAAATAATAAAAGCAATTTTAAAAAATATAAGTATCACTGGACATGCTGTTACATAACACGGACTCCAAGGATAGGCATCTTTTCTTTTTTTCACCTAGACAACGTGTAACCATTTTACCTGTCGGCGAGATCAACCGCAACAAAGGCCAAAATGTAGAAAGGTCTCATCAGGGCTGTGATTTCGTACGTGTCCAGCACTTGGAAAGCGGCAGTCTCCGTGGGAGTGTTGACAATTAAGGAGTACTCCCCTATGCAAACCGTCAGCCACCCAAACACGAAGAGCGCTACGGAAGCGCCGCCGTTACCGCCGTACAGCGAGGTGAGCCTGTTTGGTAGCAAGTACCACGTTCCCAAGGCGCACAGCACCCCGGCAAGAACTGAGTGGCCGATGATGTTGGCGACATACTTCTTGCCTGGAATGAGGAACTTCACCGTTTCCGAACCTGCGCAGCCCGCAAACTCCCACACGTCCTCATCCGTGAGGTTATTGTGCATCGGCACTCTTTGCGCCGACGGCCTCCTCCGTCTCGCCTCCAAAGCCGCCCCCTGGACAATAGTGGCGGCGGCGAGCATGAGTCCTCCGGAAAGCGCGGCTGTGCCATAGTCTTGCAGGACGCCTAACTGATAGAGGGTCGTCCCCACCCCTCCCAGCACCCATGGCAGCAGGAACAGAACGACCTGATTGACAAAGACGTAAGACGGTGCGCTCTGCCCCAACTTCAACCGAGGGCCGCCCAAAGCCGTCTGTGTGAGCCGCCTCAAGAGGAAGTCTCGTTTGTGGTAATCCAGCAGGGGCACGTCGGGGCCCATTCTCATCTGCCCGGATTTCGAGCGGGACTCATCCTCTCTGTAACGAAAGCAAGAGAAATGGAGGAGGGGGCGTTACGGCAGCATGCAGTTTTGAACGTTGACAATGAAGCTGTGTTGCTCGAACAGTACGAAACCGTACCCCATTTGAAACTTCAGCCCGTCTTCAGGGTCTCTGTGCATGTGCAGATTTATAAGATTATGTGTGGAATAGAGCAGGTAGAGAAAGAAGTACTTTTCTCCCTTTCTCACAATACAAGAACTCGTGGGAACTCCATGAAATTGCTGAGCAGTCAGGTTAGTTAGAACGGATACAAGGAAGTACTTCTTCACCCAAAATAACACGTGGAATTCACTGCCACAGGAGGTGGTGGCGGCTACAAGCATGGATGGCTCCAAGAGGGAATTGGATAAACATATGGAGCAAGAGTCCATCAGTCGCTACTAGCCACAAGGGATAGGTAGGGACTCTCGGTCTGGGGCAAGTGATGCTCTGACTTCTTGGTGCTTGGGGGGGGGCAACAGTGGGAGGGCTTCTAGTGTCCTGGCCCCACTGGTGGACCTCCTGATGGCACCTGGTCTTTTTGGCCACTGTGTGACACAGAGTGTTGGACTGGATGGGCTACTGGCCTGATCCAATATTGGCTTCTCTTATGTTCTTATGTGCAGTTCCCATGTAGGACTGCACACACTGCTGCTTGATAACCATTGGTTAAAGCTAAGTGCCATAACCTAAAAATAATTTTAGGGATATGCAGCCATCCTGCTTTGAGCCTGTGGAGGCAAGTCAGGATAGAAATGTTTTAAATGAAACCAACACCTACCCTGTTATCGCAGACTCTTCTCTGTTAGAGGCATTGGTTGGGCAGACACAGGCCTTGACAGAGCCCGGTGGGCAGCCATGTTGGTCTGAAACAGTAGAACAAAGTTCGAATCCAGTGGCACCTTTAAGACCAACACAGTGTTATTCAAGGTGTGAGGTTTTGTGTGCATGCATAGTTCCTCAGATACATTGAAACTGAAGTTAACAGTCCATACATATAGGCAGAGGGTAAACAGAAAATCAGCATATAAGATAATGAAGATGCTTTAACAGACGCAAAGACCAAATAGGAATAACAAGCTAAGTTTATATGGTCACCATTAGAGATGTGAAGGCCCGGAAAAAAACAGGAAAATTAAAAAAAAAGTTTTCCCCCCGTTTTTTTCCCCTGAAGCCTTTTTTGTTTCTTTCAAAAAAAAATGGAAAGATTTAAAAAAGGAAAGAAAAAAAATGATTACGGAAAGTTTTATTTTAACATGATGAATAAAATATTTTAGGACAAGGTGTTCAAACATTTTCACTGCTGGTGGACCTGTTCAGAAATTAAAAACTTCTGGTCCCAAGGGTTGAAAGAAATAAAGAAGATCACAAGAGAAGACATCCCACTTGATCCGGCTGCATTGCTTCTTAACTCAAGTTATACTATTGAGGAATCGGAAGTTAAAATGACTGAATTAGCCGCCACATTAATAGCCACGGCACGGCTTGCTATTGCTGCCTCATGGAAAAATCATGATCCTCCTTCTATTGCTCAATGGAGAAATAAATGTTGGGACCATTATGTGATGGATAAAGTAGCAGATAAATATGAGTCCCACATACAAGGATATGCGAGATCCCATGCCAATTTCAATCGAAAATGGAGTCCTCTTATAACATATTTTACAGAAAACGGTGTGTTACCAGCAAATACTAGTTAAGCAGATTGGATGCATCTTTTAAAAAATTTTATGGCTTGAGCATTCTCAAAAATATATATATGTATGGATACTTTTAAGGTCCTTCTAAAATATATCTGGATTTATTATACGGTATATTATACGTTACTACTCTAGTAGGTAATTCCTAGGTTACAAACTGAACTCTCCAATGCAAGAACAAGATGCATTTCTTCCTTTAGGAGGTGCTATTGTCACAAGAAAAGAAAAAGGTTTCAGTTTTGTTTTTGCATGTGGGTGGGTATTCTGTTTGTAATAATTGTTTGGATACACTATATTTTTAATATGGTAGTTGTGATAATTTTATGCCAAGTAAAAATGTCCATAGTCATATTTTATGTTACTAAATTAACAGAATGACTTTCAATCTGGAAAGTCATTCTGTTACTTCCGATTTCATTTCAACCTGTTGCTTCCGGTCCGACCTTCTGGGGTGACAGAAGTCTGCCTCTCTCACAGGGGACACGGAACAGACGACACAGAGCGAGTCAATACAATCGACAAAATGAGATGTTCAATAACCAATGCATTAGGGTCTTAGAAGTCTGGAACCACCAGAAAGAACTGAAAGTGGTACAGAAATTATGTAATAGGATCCTACTTACTATAAGCTATGCCAGGGGTCATTTCCTGCAGGAGCGCACAGGAGCGGAGCTCCGGCAGTAAAGAGCCCAGGGGGCGGGCACATGCAACAAACCCCGCCCCCTGCTCCCAGCAGCCCTCAGTCAGAGCAAGAAGTAGCCAAGTAAGTTGCAGACCCCCCCCCCAGCCCCTCAGTCCAAAACAGTCCAGTGGCACCTTTAAGACCAAGTTTTATTCAGGTACAAGCTCTCCCTCCTCTGCGAGGACAGATCTGCACATTCCCCCCCCCCAATAGCTAGCAATCCAAAACAGTCCAGTGGAGCCTGAGCGGTGGGTGTTGCCTTCTGACACACTTCCAGTAAATGGTATAGATTATATAGACTGAAGCACCAGTTTTTATTGTATTTAAAAAACGTATTTTATTGTTTTAGTATTTGTATCCTGTTAGCCGCCCTGAGCCACTGGGTAGGGCGGGATAGAAATCCAAATTTTTATTTTTTTAAAAAAGTGATGCCAGGGGGTGTGGCATATGCAAATAAGTTTTGCTAATGAGTTATGCTAATGAGCTCCTGCACCTCTTTTTCTACGAAATGACCCCTGAGCTATACACAGCAGTACAGCCCACCGTCCCTAACCATTTATCCAAGAAAGATTGTAAAACCAGTTTTGGGCAGTCCAACCCTGTGACCTGCGCAGAAAAGCCCCTTAAATAGTTCAGTTTTGTATAGTTTGCAGAAAGCCAGGAGACTTGGGTGCTTTCCTGAACTCCTCGGGCTGGCCGTTCCCCAAGGCTGGAGCTGCAATGGAGAAAGTGTTGATTTAGTGGTTAATGCATTGCTTTGGAACAGGCAAAGAGACCGTTTCCATGTATCTATTTTAAAAGGAATGCTTCCCTTACTGGAGGGGGGGGGGTGTTTCCAGACATTACACTACTTTATATTGTCGAAGGCTTTCACAGCCGGAGTTCATTAGCTGTTGTAGATTTTCCGGGCTGTATGGCCGTGGTCTTGGCATTGTAGGACCTGACGTTTCGCCAGTAGCTGTGACTGGCATCCTCAGAGGTATAACACAGAAAGATGGAGTACCCTCTGTGTCAAGGTGAGAAGATAAATGATAGGCAGGTGATTTATATCTACTCAGGAAGGTGGGGTAGGGCTGAGTCATTGTCTTGTAGGAGTTCCCCAGGCTATGAACATGCTAATGGAGGAGCTTTCCTGAGGAGGTTCTTTTGTATATTGATTGTTTCCTGAGGAGGTTTCCTGAGGAGGTTCTACTTTTACACTACTTTGTCGCTTCTTACCCCACCCCTGTTCATTCCCAGTGTTTCCCAAGTGTGGTTTTACCCCATTGCACTATAAACTTAAGAGACAGTGCCCTACCAAGGCAGCTAACAATTTATAACATATTTGATAACATCACATTTCTAACAACGCCCCCTCAGACATGCATCATTAAAACAATTTTAAAAAGTTAAAATACATCAAAAACAGCAATTAAGACTCCCATCTGGTTAGTGTGCTCTGCCCCATTTATTATTACCATCATAAGAAAAACAAAACGGGAAGCAACTTTCCAAACCTTCCTGCTGTTATATAATACTTCTGAATGCTTTCGTGCCCAGCATCCATTACATTCTCCTAATGAACGGTCTTATGATCCACAACGATGATTCTTAATCCAGGACACACAGCGCGCGCGGGGGGGGGGGATTAGGAACTTCTAGAGACAAATGGGTGGGGCTTTTAGGAGCTCCGCCCCCTTTCTTCAAGGCACAGCCCCACAAGAATTTCTCCTGTAAATGCTTCTTTCAATCGTTTTGAAACGTTTTTAAAAGGCGCGCACTCCGTTAAGCAGAGTGGGGTGCTGCAGTTGACTAATTCCTGTACTGAACCAAGGGGTTGGAGTAGGTGACCTCTAGGGTCCCTTCTAACTCTGTGTCAAGAAATTGGTCTCCTTTAAGAGAGTTTTTCTGCCTATTGTTGCTTCGGCTGGCAGAAGCGATTAACTTGCAGCAGCTGAGAACTGTCATCTAAAGGGGTTGACAGCATGCAGTTTAGAGACCTATCCTGGTAACAGCTTTCTATCGGCTAAATGGCTTTTCTTTCTGCACTGAGAACTTCAGCCCCACCAGAAAAAAAATTGCCCCCAAAGCCACAAAATCCTGACGATGGGCCTGAGTCAGCCCCCTTCTCCCCACTTGCAACAGCCTCAGACAACAGACAGAAGAGTGCCGCTTTCTACTGTTTTCTCTGCTCTGAAGGTCACATTCCGAATCTTCTATCCCCAAGCCCTCAAAAAAGCGGTACAAAGAAAATAATAATCGATTAAAGAGTTGGCTGATGGACATAAGGCACAGGGCCTCACTGGAAATCTGCCCAAGAACTGTGAATCGTATGCATCGATCAGAAAGTTGCCTTGTAACTTGGTGTGTGTGTGTGTGGGGGGGGGATTCAATAATATTGCATATTCCATGAGCAGCAATGGATTAAAGTTTAAGAACTGCTGATCTGAAACAGTAAAAGAGCCTTGTGACACCTAACGCAGGAGAGGGAGAGCTTGTACCTGAATAAAACTTGGTCTTAAAGGTGCCACTGGACTGTTTTGGACTGGGGGGGGGGGGCCTCTGCAACCTACCTGGCTGCTTCTTGCTCTGACTGAGGGCTGCTGGGAGCAGGGGGTGGGGCTTGTTGCATATGCCCACCCCCTGGGCTCTTTACTGCCGGAGCTCCGCTCCTGTGCACTCCTGCAGGAAATGACCCCAGCCCCTGTCCAAAGGCAACAGGGAGACAGGAAATGCATAGCTTCCCACCTTCATCACCAGTGCAACAATATGTAAACTGCAGCAGGTGTATTTTTAATATATATTGTTTATTTTACCATTTAAAGGGTAAATAAAAAGGGACAAAAGAGAAAGTGAGAAGCATAAAACACATTTTAAGGGCATTATATAATATAAGAATATAAAACATGCAAAAAATAACATGACATGTCTAAACATGGTAAGATAATCAATACTTCAGCATAACATACTTCCACATATATTTCCATTATTTCCTATCTATAGGGCTAGGTAAAAAAGGATTCGGGCAAGGAACGTAACAGAAGAAAAGAACATTCTTATATACTATCATATAATAACTACTAAATATGCAAATGAAGCTCAAATACTTTGGCCACCAAATGAGAAGGGAGCACTCACTGGAGAAGACCCTGATGCTGGGAAAGATTGAAGGTCAAAGAAGACGGGGACGGCAAAGGATGAGATGGTTGGACAGTGTCATCGATGCAACGAACACGAAACTGAGCAAACTTCAGAGGACAGCGGAAGACAGGAGGGCCTGGCGGGATCTAGTCCATGGGGTCGCGAAGAGTCGGACTCGACTGTGCGACTGAACAACAACAAAAAATGCATCTAAAAGGATTATTAAGTGTAACGATGAGCATATGATTATACGATTTTGAGTATTAATCAGTTCAAATTCCTTTGAAGAAGAGAGTGAATTTATACCCGGCCCTTCACTACCAGAAGGAGTCTCAGAGCGGCGTACAGTCTCCTTTCCCTTTCCCTCCCCACAACGAACACCCTGTGAAGTAGG